CATTTCCGGCCGCCATCTTGGATCCGCCATATTGGATGCAAAATTTTTTTTTCAAATGTAAAGGTGGGGTTGTGACCTATTATTTCAAACTAGATTTTTACCTTGATTACAATGCCGCAAACTGTTTTTAAAAATCTTGATTCATTCTAAAGTTATGAGGGTTTTTTTTAAACTTTATTTTTAGCCCATTTTAACATTGTGCATTTACAAACTAAGACCATAATCTCAAAATAGTGCCAGATAAAGATAAGTATACACTACCAGTAATTGTCGACCTATTTTCACTTGGTTATGACTGATGTATTTTTTTCGGCCGCCATCTTGGATCCGCCATTTTGAAATGTGATAAATTATTTTAAATATGAAGGGGGTGTTGTGACCCATCATTTCGAACTACTTTTTTCAGCTAAACACAATGCCGCAATCCATTTTTCGTTATCAAGTTTTATTTATGAAATATTGCAATTTTTTTGTTAAAAATGTCAATATTTAAAAATCAAAAAATGAAAATGAAAAACGGATCTTGGAATTAAGTTAAGCTTAAAAAAGTACTTCGAAATGATGGGTCACAATACCCCCTTCATATTTAAAATAATTTATCACATTTCAAAATGGCGGATCCAAGATGGCGGCCGAAAAAAATACATCAGTCATAACCAAGTGAAAATAGGTCGACAATTACTGGTAGTGTATACTTATCTTTATCTGGCACTATTTTGAGATTATGGTCTTAGTTTGTAAATGCACAATGTTAAAATGGGCTAAAAATAAAGTTTTTAAAAACCCTCATAACTTTAGAATGAATCAAGATTTTTAAAAACAGTTTGCGGCATTGTAATCAGGGTAAAAATCTAGTTCGAAATAATAGGTCACAACCCCACCTTTACATTTGAAAAAAAAATTTTGCATCCAATATGGCGGATCCAAGATGGCGGCCGGAAATGACCACCTTGTCAAAATGAAGTACTTACTACCCAACAATGTTTGGAAGTGGTCTGGGATTGATGTTTGAAAAAATGTAGAAAAAAGTTGGGGGGGGGACAATTAAAACTCACCCTGTATATAAAATCCAATGTATGTTTGTTTGTATGTTTGTCCTTTATGGACTCCGAAACCGCTCGACAGATTGTGATGAAACTTTCAGGCATTATTAAGCATTATTCAAGGATGGTTTGTGTGAAGTTTGGTGCAGATCTGTCAAAAGGGCTCCGCCCCAGTGGCTCTGGAGTTTCCCATGTTAACCTTATGAGTATTGATATTTAAATGGAATTTAAGAATCTTAACAGCTGGTTCAACTAATCAATTTGATTCTGTGATGTTCAATAGTATTAAAAAGTTAATAGGTTTACCAACAGGGTGCAGCACTATTCTTTTTTTTATTTATGACAACAGCTAATTTGCAACCGAAAGGTGAGTGAGCGTAGCGAACGAACTTCAACCTGGAGGTGAGTTAGCGTAGCGAACGAGTTAAGCTGTAGGCAAGTGAGCGCAGCGAACGAGCTCCAACCTAAAGGTGAGTGAGCGTAGCGAACGAACTTCAACCAGGACGTGATTGAGCCATGCGAACGAGCTCATCTTGAAAATGAACGAGCATGTGACATAAAACCACAATAGGACAGGACGACGTCTGTCGGGCCAGCTAGTAGTTGATAAAACGGATGACAATTTGTAGTTTTGCCAAAAAATACTACAAGTAATAATTAACTGATTATAGTGCTTTCTGATTGTAGTATGATTGGTTCTCAATGTAAAGCTAATGTATCACTTCATTGACAAATTTAAGCGTACACTTATTATAGATTAGGACATATTGATCACAACACAAAACTTAATGTTTACACGACTCACAATATTGTAAATATTGTTTTAGGAGCAGAACAATTAAAACTAGAGATCGTACAGTGGTCAAAAACTTTACCAAAATATCTAATATACAGACTTCTCTATTTTCACCCCATGCAGTATATTAAACATGTGTTGGGCAATTCTTCCATTTATTTTGATTTTCTGTTTATAATTTGTTGTTATTTCGTCACCAGCATGGCAACCCATAAGGCCCATGTTAATTTTGTTATAACTGCAAACTCATTTTTTGTGCTTATTTTTGAACCTATTTTAATTTTTATAAAGGGATTATGCACATCTAGAGGAAAATATCTTTCCAGCAGTATATTTTCCCTGCGATGCACACGAGCTGAGAAAGAGGGTTTAATGAAACATGATTGCCTATTAATATATATATATATATATATATATTCTGACAGAATCGTGCTCAGATACTTTCCGTACGTGGCTTACAGAAATTTGTCACCCCTTTAGAGCACTCATTCCCAAAAAATCATTGTTCTTTTTCTCTTTTTACTGTCTCCATGTTCAAAATCAGCTAAAATATTTTTTTAAACCTACTGCATTAGGTCTTAGTATTGTAAGCAATTGGTTCAGGAAAAAGACAAATTAGCAAACCTTCGCCATCGTGGTCTTCCTCTAAGCCCCAGAGTCGATGACAGAACTCGAGAAGAACAATGCAGTCCAATGAATAGCTTTAAAAATTAAACTTTTTTAAGATTTTGTTTTTATTTTAGAATGTTTCCTTACTGCTTGGTGGACACATTGTATGAGCGTTTCCTTTAACTAAGGAATACACTTGTATAATATGAAGTTTCTCGGGCCTTTTTAAAATTTTAGCTGTTTTCACTTGGTTGTTATTTTCGTTTTCCGTCATATTATGTCGACTAATCAAGCTACTCGACTATTGAATTGACTTTTTAATTAAAGCATTGTTTTACTTCACACCTTACTGAAACTAGTTTTATTATATAGGTACTGTTAATTATTAACACGATTTTGAATCTAACTCTTTTCACGCGAATAACATTATATTCATTTTACTATCCTCGTGAACTACTTGTTTTCTAATTTAAGTAAATCATACCTATTGCATTTTGATAGTAATGATGGTCCCTATTAAACGAACCCGAACTCAAAAATAAATAGTCTTCTATTCACTGAATATTTAATTAAGAATGATTTGATTGAAATACAATTTAAATATGGATGAAGAAAATGTAAAAAATAAACAATATACCTTAGCTTACCTGTTTTAACAGAATTTATAGATACTCACTGTGTAGAAATGATACACACAATTCTTATGTATTTATATATATTTTCTGAAACATGAAAGTTATATTGCTCACAAATTGTGCCAGTATTAAAAAAATAAATATGATCTAATAATCACAGACGGTGCATCGTTGTATAAAATTTATTCTTAAAACTAACTAAACAAAAATATTACTATTTACAAACTATTTACATTAAGTACATTCATAAAAACTATTTACATTATAGTTTAGTAATCGTTTATAAAGGCACTAGTTATTTATTAATAGATGTTATTGCACCGACAAATGCAATGTTGATTAAGCTATTCAATGGGCAATAGTATACTTACACTATAAAATATATATATATATATACTTATAGAAACCTTTTCTATCTTCTTGTACTGTTTGTATTTTTATAAAGTTGTATAAAGCTGTAAACTTTATATAGTGTATCAAAAATATTTGCAAATTTAATTTCAATGCATATACTTCTTAGCTATTATTTATTCAAATTACATTACTAAGGAAACAATGATATTTGGAATGTAACATGTTAATGTTTTCAATCATAGTATAACATATATTAAAATAAAAAGTATATACACCAAATATAGTAAGAACAACGTACTTAAGTCACATTTACTGGTTTCTTTGGTTTTTGATTGCGATGAAAATACAGAAAAACTAAACGAAGATGTGTTTTGATTTTAATTTAATGTATTATATTTTTAACTTATTTAATTTACAATCTGTTCAAGTTGAACAATATGCAAATGATATATATAAAAAAGTAATGAAAATAAATGTATTAGTGACATTTATATAACCTAATTATATAACAAAATTTTATTTTAAATCAACTGCAGCAATAGGTTGACAAGATCAGGACAATTCGTCCAAATAGTCTAGTAATTTGAGGGAAAATACCCGTGTACCTGGAAATAATTCCCTAAATTGTGAAACTTTGCACATGTGCAGTGATAGTACCTAGCTTAAAAGTAAAATAGTAATAGCCTAGTATAAAATAAATAAATTTACCAAGTGTTATTAAAAGATATCCATAAACAAGCAAACTAAACAGTTTTCTTATTCTACGTAAGAACATGGAGATTTTAAGGTTAATAATTTTAATTTATCTCAAAAACTGTTAGAGATAGGGCAAATATTGTTATAACAAAAACATGTATTTTTTGTGATCATTAACTTTTGTGCCAAAAAATCTGTATTTCCAATGGTTTGTGAAATATGGTCAACAAAGTGAAAATTGGCAGCCATTTTTCAAGATGAGCACCATAGCACAGCATGCACGAATGTTGAAATTTTAATATGTTGTTTGTTACTGGGTACTAGTAGTACACGTATGCAAAGCAAAAACAATATCCTTAAAACTTCCGGGGTTTTTTCAAACTGCAATAACAATCGTGGAAGGAAGATTTTGGACCTTTTCCGTTAATTCATTACCACTAGTTTTTAGAGCAATATATTATTAGTAGTAGAAGTGGTAGTGAAGTAAACTTCGGTTAGGTTAGGTTAGGTTAGTATAGAGTTTAATATAGAGTTAGAAATAGGCCCTACCTAACCTATCCTAAACACTCACTAGTGGTAGCGAAGAGAAAATGAATTAAATATAGACTGTCAGCCGTGCTGTTGTTACCATGGTTACCATAGGTTCTGGCGCACACCGCTGGGAGCGCCGTGTAGTTACGTAGCGCGTAGGCCGTAACTACATGGCGCTCCCACTGGTGTGTGCCAGAACCTATGGTAACCGCAGCACAGCTGACGGTCTGTTTTTTTTCTATGGTGGTAGTGAACTAACGGAAAATGCTTTTATATGGATTCACGTTCAGTTCACTCCCAGTCTTTTCGTTTGACAGTTCACAACCTCCTCTGCAGTCACTGCGACGGTGGGGACAGATGCAGGGGTATGTAGGGGTAGGACCGCTCGAAGGACGTCTTGTACATGTCACAGAGTAGACGGACGATGGGGATCTCGCCGATGGTGCGGCGGAAGAACAATTCCTCGATGGTATCCGAAGAAACGGCCTGCAGAGACGGTAGCAGCAGCAGCAGCTTGCCGAAGCGGTGGGGCTGGGAAGGGTAGCGGTTGCTGACGTAGTGGTCCAACGTCACTTGGGTCTGGTCCCGGAAGGAGGCTACGGACGTGACGTCACAGAGAGTACCTCCGTGGACAACTGCAACATAATGACGTCATCAGGTGGAAAAATGTATGGGAAATGAAAGAGAAATTGATTACACAAAGTTTCTAAGGTTTGATGAGTAATTTGGACTGACAGTTAGTTTTAATGAGTAACGAGCACTCATCAAATGTGTTCAAACCAAATAAAATCAAATCCATTTATTGCCATCAACATTATAAATACATACATGTATAGCAACGTCATACAATTTCATCACAGTATATCCATTAACCTACTTAATATGTTGGTAATAAGTCAGTAGGTAAATTGATGTTTTTAGAATTGAGTTATAGGACTTATTTCAATGCTCGGCATTTTGATCTTAGAAAACCTTAAGAAAATCTCTTTATAGCTCCTGTTTGCCGTAATATATTTTCTCATGCTTCATATACGTTTCTTGAGTATTTATTGTCTTAAATGATGTTTGCACATTACACCTTTTCACTTAGAAATTATTTTAAAATCCCGTCCGATATTTGGACAGATTTATTTTTGAAATTCGAAATTGAGTCCTTTCGAAATATAGTCGCCTAAAATATTTCTATTTTGATTAATAATGAAATCTCAATCAATAGAAAGTCTATCTCATTGATATATCGATGGTCTATCTACGATGTTCCAAACGTTAACGGTGAAATGGTTAGTTTTAACGGATTTGAAGGTTTGACAAATAGTATCCCACGATAGTCAACTTTATCATACGCAACTTGATAAATTTAAATACCTATAGCACTCAACAACATTCCTCAAGTATCCTAATCATACAAGAGTTAATTTTGGACTAGTTCCAGTCTCTGAAAGTACTGTAGTTGACCGAAGTGGGACGGCTTCTCACAAAGTCAATGTCATTAGGAATCAAATGTGGAAAGAGATACACGCAGTGGGTTCAGTGACATATCCAATGCGGCTGGCTTGACTCAGCTTCACTGACCTTGGCAATTATCGGGACCACCAAAGGAGACATTTCAATCTCAGAGTTTCGTATATTCACCCACACGACACACGGGTAATAAATAAGCCAACTTGTCCTTGCAAATCAATCCCATCTGGTCTTTGATTATCTTAAATTATGTGAGTAAATTCATGGCACGAAGAGTTTGCGAGGTATCACTTTAAACCGCTAATTTCCTCGAGTAAGATCAATGGACGATAGTGTAGGGACGTCAATACTATGAGAATAATGGCATGCACTAATTAAAATATTCAATAAAATTGTTTCTTGGTGTTTAAAGTCATATCGTCGAATAAGACATATTTAAATGGTGAAGTTATTTAGCATTTTTATTTTTGTAGCCTCGATTAAATTTTAATTAGTGACTGGAGTGTCTAGGTCCCAAGTGATGGACAACAAGGAACAATAGGGAAATACACTACTGCTCGTGGGATTGGTTTCGTTTTACTTAATATACACAATCTTTTGTGCTCTAAAATCAATTCAAATTGGTTTTATGACCAACATATTAGAATAAAAATTACAGAACAGTACCATTCAGTAGGTTAAACATACTGCAATATGGATTTAGCATTCTTATGGACCAGATAAAGGCAAGTTTTAAGCTAAATAGTTCTGTAGTTTAAGTAGAGGGCATTATTTTGTTTAACATTTCATTCTAGCTACATAACTGATCATTATATTAACCTGATTAAACGACATTATAAGAAAAAACTGCTTGTACTCTAGCTGTACAACTAAACTATAATAGTATATCTCATCACTTAGACCTAAAGTGTCTCTTTTTGACCCGAGGTCAAGTTTTAGGATCGACGCGAATCTGATGTCGAAAAATGAGCGAGGGTTAAAAAGACACTTTTTCCCCGTGTGGTGAATTGTATTTTTTGTCATATTGCATCATTCATTAACAAACTAAGCTAGAAAATAAAATAATCTTTATGTAAAGATAACCTCTCAAAACGACTTCCAGCTTGTATTCAATTCTGCTAATGCAAATTAGCAGTTGCTGTTTAGTAAATTATTCAATCATTTGATCTTTTACGATTGTGTTACAGTACATTATACCATCGATAAGAAAAACCTTGCCTAATAAATCAATCGATAAATAGTTTTGATCGATTTGTTAGCCACAGTCAAATTAACAACTGTTCATAACAGCAGATTTTTACTCTCTAGGGACTAAAATTCTACTTTAGAACCGCAACGCATGCATTAAAACCGGCTGTGTTTGCTGCAGTAAGACGATAAATATTTAAATTCTGCCTTAAAATAAATTTAAAACGATTCGTCAACATCAACGCACTCTAAATGGTACCAACATGAAACATTTAAAACAGGCTTCCGATTTTACAATGGAATAAGAAGTCTACTGTTCAAAGTTAATTTCAGTACCTACCGGTTTTAAACAGGACAATGGCTCTAAGCAAGTTGTATTCTGTGGCGTCCAGATGAAGTCCCCTCAGTTTGACGATGGATTCCTGGAAGATCGTCACCTCGTGGGCGAGGTCCTGGGAGTCCCTCAGGAGACAGGTGAGGTTGAGAGGAGGGAAGTACTCGGCAGCTCCCAGGACGAACAACTCTCTCCAGCTCTCCTCCAGGAGTAGCAACTGTGGCGAGGAATAAACATTGAGTGAGAGGAAGAAGTGACAGAGTGGGGTTGAGAAAGATGATGTTTACACATATCTATCTAAAATGTTTAATTTCAAACAAGATTAAAATGATCACTGAACTATTATTCATACATATACAATTGGAGGTAGCACTGAATAAGAGAATTGTTAGACGTTGGCGAACATTTTGTACAAGAGGATAAAGTACTCGTATATTTTACATAATTACATTTTGGCTATTTGATTGTGCGATTTTACTTACATCAAGACATGAACCAAACAGCTGGATTCCCCTAGTTGGTACCAACATAACAAAATTACATCCTCGATTATCTAGCAGATTTACCGAGTCAGAGCTACCTCTAGTTGAATTTCTAGCTAAAGAAAATTGTGATTATAAACGTGATGCAGCGAAGTAGTTGATCGGCATTTCTACCTTTCATTCGAGTTCGTATTGAAAATTGTTTGCTACCCACTCTATTGGTTGTCATAGTTCAAGCTATCATATGTCTGACATCATTATTTTGTACACCGAGATCTTACCTGATCTTTGAGGGCGAGGTAGGTGAAGGCAGGCACACTCTTGATCCATGTAACTGTCATAAACAGTATTCTGGCGGCGTACTCGCTGATGGACTCGGGAGAGTTGAACATGAGTGGTGGAGGCAGCGAGCAGGGCTCCTGTAGACAGATGTTATAGTGAGATATAGCTACAGATTAGGACAAATAACAAACCCGCGTCTTCCTAATTTATTTCAACTGTCCCCAAACGTATAAATCTGACATTAATGATGCAGCAGAGAAAATTTGCATAATAATAATACAGTAACACCTCAGGACTGTATTAGTAATCTATACTATTATAAAGAAGAGGTAAAGTGAATGAAGGTTTATTACTCGCCGTAATCACAAGGCAATTATTGTTCGAAAAAAGCCACTGAAAGTAGCTATCTATTTAAAAAAATATGTATACTGATATTCGTGTTACTAGTTTCAAGGGTTGTTTGATGTTTTGTGCGTGGTCTGTAACTCATTTGGTGCTCGGAGCTAACTACTTTAAAATAATTTGTTATTCTGTGAAGACATAGGTGGAATAAAATTCACAGTACTTTGATGTCAAGTTAAAGAGTTGTCAATAATTGGCATTAAGCAATAAGAAGCATTATCTAGGTCTCAATCTTTTTTGTTACGAGCACGATCAAGGTCCCGAGGACAAACCAGTTGCAAATCATTGACATTTTGACACCACAGAAAAAGAGCGAGTTATTTGCCTGATTGCATCGATACGTCCAGGGGCAAAACCATCTCAATTGACGATACTGACCTTGGGTAAGGGCGTGGTGTAGAAGTAGGGCGACGGCGGTGGTAGGAGATGTGCCGGGGGCGAGGGCCGGGGAGGAGACGCTGTGGAGGATGACACCTTGGGCAGGGCGAGGTCCAGTACGGAGGGTGCGGACGTTGGGAGGGCGAGAGCCCCTGCCTCAGCGTCCTTGAAGAACATAGCCACCTGTCGACGCAGGGTGGAGTTGCGAGGACCTCTTTCGTGCTGGACGGCTGCAGGATCAGAATCAGAAAACGTTTGGGTTCAGTAAAATTTACATTTGACATATTCTGTTGTTTGTAATTCTATCGTTTTAAATCGTATGGTTTGGATCATAAACTTAATAAACACAATCAAGCCCATCCGTACACAGGCACAATTAGGGTACAACTTAATCATGAGTGTTAATTAATTTGTTTAATTAAAGCTCATCCAGCTTATTGTTCATTCTATGATTTTAGAGTTGTTGGATAGTGCTCGACATAAAAATTATTCATAAAAAATCTCCTAAAATAAAGTACTGTCCAAAAACTTCTATTGCTCTTTAAAGTTGAAGAGGCCACCTAACTATTCTAATTAATTTTAAAGAATTTTCAAGTAATTATTTTACAGTTATAAGCACCTTTAAATAGTAGCAAAGATTGCCTAATTTTTTTTACGAAAGTTTGATTCGGTATTTTAATAGTCAATTATTATATGCGGGATGCATACAACATTTCATCTTAAAAGGTAAACTTGTTTACTGTCTTTGATGTCTTTGGTTCTTTGAATGTGAACTTTTACCTTGTTTACAATATCCCCCTCCCCTTATTCTTACCATCGATGTATTGTGTTATACATTGATGGTTCTCAAATTTGAATTTCTCAAGCCTTTTTCTACATCCTGTTGCCAACTTCTGATTTGACTTCCTCCTTTTCTTACGTAAAATTTGGAAGTTCATAGATTTTTTCTGAAGCCTATCTTAATCAATTTTTTTCACATGGCCTAATCATTTCAGTCTTACAGTTGAGACTGGGAAAAAAACTATGCCCTCTTTTCCCAATAAGTCCATTTATTTAATTCTTACATTTAATTACCAAAATAGTTTAGTAAACGTGTCTCTTACACATACCGTCCTTGTTCATGCCCGCCTGCACACACTTCCTCAGTCTACAAGCTCTACATTGGTTCCTGTGGGTTTTGTCAACGACGCAGCTTCCTTCGCACTTTGCCTTGCACACGTACTGTCTGTTGCGACGGATGGACCTCTGAAAATGTCAAGCAAAAATGTTATTAAGTATAAAAAATGTAATTTACAAACAGAAATTGTTTAATGATTATTTTGAAGACTCTGGTATTTGGAAATAATGTACAAAAACTCATTATTCAGATTATTGGTGGTTTCGACATAAGTTGGAGTGTAAACAGTCGTTCTGGTAGAATTTGTATAAAAAGTACAAATAACCAGGTTTTTCAATTTTCAATTCGATATTGTGACAGTTCACTACGGTGACAATGGATTTAAATATCTTTTGAAGTGTTCACGTATACTGATTATCCACTTCAGTGGTTATCCGTAATTCTAGATGGAAAAATTACAAATTCACCTAAACAACTGATGTTTCTTTAACTAATATATGTGCTTATTCAGTTGACGCATAAATGTTACAATAAACAAGTTGTATACATAGTTGTGTGTTCTACCATAAAATAAATAGGCAGCGGTAAAATATAATGAATAAACACACAGGGTAACTACACGCACGTTGATGTAAAATAACGTATCTATTTTACGGTTCTGCCAACCTCATCCGTTGATGGAGTTTCCAAATGGTCATAATATACCTAAAGCTGTATTTTAGTAATCTTCCCTTTAGAATGCCACACTACAAACCACAACATAGTAAATTATTCTTGACGTTTAACGATGCAAAATGTTTGATAACCGAGTGTTTATCATTACGTAGACTTTATAACTTAAAAAAATAGATATAATTTCACAACCACACAGGTTTAATTCAATAAACGATTGTTATTGTCTTCACACAAACTGTTCCCTGTTTCATCTCATCTCTTACAATGATTGTAATCAGGCAATGTAATTGAAATAGCTGCAGGCATGATCTACAACCCCTGATGGGCTGACTGCATTGTAAGTCAATCAGGGAGGGTTTCAGGACAGCTGCGAGAAGTCATCCCTGAGGAAGATCCAACATGGCGGCCAGTGGGGGGGGTCCAGCTGTCTTGTCCTCCATTGAAATAATGTTTATCGCCCCCCCCCCTCCCCAAGGCACCCATAGCACCCTAGTCAGAGTCACTGATTTTCTGGCTTACCCATTGATGTTTAGAATGGCTAGAGAATATTTTAATGTGCATAGTTGAACGTGTCTTTGCAAAACTGTATGTTTAGTTTAAACTATGTGCTACAGTAATAATATACTGTATGAAATAAACTATAATTACCTTGAAGAAGCCAGCACACCTGGAACAGAATAAGATGGTTATGTAGTTTCAAGTTGGTAAATTACAGTATTTGGTTAATATAACTTCCCAAAGCATACAGTAGGGATATACGTTTAACATAGCTTGAAAAATAACGTACAGCACTGAATAACAACACTCTTCAAATGATGTAAGAAGAATCTTTTTAAATTTTTATTGCCCCAATACCAATCATTCGTCTGCATGCTATCATCCAGTCAAGGAAATATTTTTAAGAACTCATCTGATTGGATTCACCATTGAATTGCCGAAAACATCAAAACAATACCAGGTGGAAAATTCTAACAACTAATTTGTTATTATTATTGCAAACAATAAAAATAATGTAACATTATTTTTCATGAAATGAAAATTTTTTAACAGTTAAAACAAAATTTTATTGAAATTTAGTTTTAAAATAAAAAAAAAACTTAAGTGCATTGAAGACACCTCAATTTAACAAGCCTGTAAAAATGTTGAAATTATTTAATCACATTCTAACTTATCATAGTTGAACTTGACATAGTTGTATCTAAATATAATGTAAAACAAACATTAATGCAGTTTGGAAATATCTTCATCGAGTAAGGTCTGCCTGGAAAAATATTTGAAAAAAGGAAATTAACAAATTAAAATATTCAGCAAACTCACCCATCACAGGCGAAGATTCCGTAATGTTTTCCGCTCGAGTTGTCCTGGCACACTTTGCAGGGGATGTCATATAGTATCCGGCCTGTAACACATATCATGACGTCATTTCCGGTCACAGTGCAGGAACGCGGTAACAACGACATGTGTTCATCACAACAATCACCTATCAGCTGATCAGGTCATCTGGCCCGGCAAGCATTGGACCGTGGCTGGGGTGGCTAATTGTTACCGATATGGGAAATCTTAGTTCCCATAGTGTTGTCACCCCATCAATTTGTTTGCCATATGGGACATTTAATTGTTTTTTCCTCTTTGTAAATGGTATTCTGCGATGAACTAATTTTGGAAGTTGTGGATTCATTTTGGACAATGCTTGGACAAATATATTCTGGTGGTAAAATATTTGACTTTGTAGACTTGAGTGAAATTATTATAGAACCTGTATCAATTTACATCAAATTCAATCTTCTGTTGTAGTGTAGAAAAACTTAAATTCAGTACCATATATTAAATAAAAGTAATTTATCATATAAAGCATTGCATTTCAGCACAAGATGCCAAGAAATATTAAAAACGTGTATATAAATTAAAATGTAAATAAATGCACATATCAGTCCCAAAGTTGACGCCACTAATTGTCTATAAACACACGTAATAACGACCACTTGGGGAGGCGTCAAGACGGAAATCGTGGTCGCTACGTTTACAATAGCACTTGCCGTAATGAGGGGGTGAGTGAGACCTGTACCGGAAACGCTCAAGACTTCCGGTACATACACACCCTCGTCCTTGCATTGTGCTGTGGTTGTGGGCGCGAATCAATCAAAACACTCGTAACTCCCTGTCTCTACCTGACAATTTTGATTTAATTATCAGCTGTTATTTCTGACCTCAGCACTCGAGGAGTGGGAGCGCACGTGACGCAATCAGAGCAATTAGTACTAGTGATCATGCGGGAATACTGTTTGTTTCAGAGGTTTGAGAATGAAATAGTTATTGGCGAGTGTGGAAAGTTTCTCGAGTGCAGCAAAAACACTTTGCGCTCGTGTTACACATTATATTTTTCCTACAGAATCTACAAAGCATATAAATAATGAGTCTTCCAAAACACTATACACCACGTTTTAGGTTAGTATAAATCCAAGCGTTGAACGGAATTGGAAAGAAAACACTGCACCAGCTGATCGTAGTCCTTATTTGTTGATATAATAAGTGTTTCCAACTTATTTTCAAGCGTACAAGGATTACGTGCATAAAAAACACGCTGTTTTGTGTTGTTTGGTTGGAATACTACAGTGCGGAAAAACAGTGCGCAAAAGTAAGTAAATGCATCAATTAGTGGCTTTCTGTCTAAAAATCAGTGCAAGGAAGCCCATTTCGTCGGGTGACTGTAGGGAAAAATTACTTGTAAGTATTTTCACTGACTTGGACTTCATGGAAACATTAAATGAACTTTTCATGCTATCGCAAAACAGATGTATGCTTCAACGGGGTTACGATTGAGTGTGGCGATGTCAAATAATGGTTCCTGTCATATTTCAGAATAGGTTAAGTTAATCCTAGGTTATAAAATCACGGGTCAAGTTACTATAGCAAATGTACAATAAATACCCCTACAGCCTTTATTTAAATAAAAAGAATTAGTAAAGTGTAAACGTTAAAACTAGATCTATATGTACTAGACAAAAACATGTTTTGAAACTTTTTATGCTGACAAATTACAACAAAAATTGGAAATGCATCTTTCATATATTCTTTGAAAACAACTAAAGTATTAAACATGATAAACTAACCATCAACTATCGTTATTGCAACACTGGCATATGATTTGGGATGGTGAGAAAGTAAAACGAAGTCAACTTTTATTTAAATAGGAATTGCTACTAAATTAGTTGGAAACGTAAAGGGTCTTAGCTAAAAAAGTCTAGGAAATTTTTCTTATTCTTTGTAAAGCTTTACTTCACACGCTATGTAATAGAATTAATCGTTTGTTGATTTCCTTAATGGCCGACAGCGAGTTTAGTGAGTCAAAGTCAACTTTACGCTGACTGGCTGACTCTAGTCAACAGTCATTGAGAAACATCTAGAGCGAAAAGTAAACATTTACCGAGCAACCGGTGCTTTTCACCATGGCCGAGTTACTACATTAATAGATTCAACAAACTTTCCTACAAAATCATGTTGAAGACAATTTTAAGTTGTGTTTCTTGCCATTACAGACAGTTAGCTCGGTGTATAATTTTTTTGAAATTTTGACAATTTTTTGACCATAAAATTACAAATTCATAAAAATATATTAAATGTTTTCTAGTTTTGCAACAACAAAGTATTCAATGTTATAAAATGCTCCAATGGGGGAGAAAAAAACTAAGTCGACAGAGAGTAACCGAACGTGAAACACTTACTATATAAGTACTTCAGATTATGCAATATAATTATGAGACAATTAATTTGTAGGGCCAACGAGGTGCTTCTGAGAAAAGATCTTTTGTATTTTAATCATATTAATACACGCTTTCTTGTTAAAACAAGGATTTATAGGTACCTCTTGTAATATCAAAATTTACCGCAGTTAGTTTAGCGTCTAAGACTAAATTGTAATAACACAATTTAACTTGTGTCGTAGCTTGTCAACTTTCATGAGGAAATTGCAACGTCTATAATCATGATGAAATTTGTATAATATTTACTTTCAGATAAAACTCCCTAAACAATAGATAACTCGGCTGATTAAAAAGATCTCGAAATCGTAATAGTTAAGAGTAAACTAAACACTTTTTCCTACAGTCACCTGACAAAGTGGGCTTCCTTGCACTGACTATATTGCAGAAAGTTGCTAATTGCTGCATTTACTTATTTTTGCTGCAGTATTATTTTGCCACACACCATTATATTCCACCCAAACAACACCAAACAGCGTGCTTTTATCAAGCAAGTAATCGGTGTACTCTTGAAAATATGTTGGCACACAAGATACTACGACTACGATCAGCTGGTGCAGTGTTTCCCATTTCGTTCAACGATTCGATTTAACCTAGCCTAAAAACGTGTTTAAAGAACAATTATTTATATGCTTTATAGAAACTGTGAGAAAAATATAATTTTTAACACGAGAGCAAATTGCCTTTGCTGCACTCGAGAAACTTTCTACACTCGCATGCGGCTCGTGCGCAAACATTTCTCTCTTGTGCAGCAAAGTTCCACTTAGCACACTAGTGACACAAATCACTTTTACACGTCAGGACGTTTCTTACCTACGATTGTGATAATTTAAGTAACACAGAAAAGTAAGGAAAATCTCTCTATGATATGTAAGTTAAAAAAAAAAAAACTAAACATCGTATAAATACACAGGATAGCACATTTTAAACTTAGAAAATCTCAATTGATGTTGTATACGTTTTGATAAATAGTAGGCAAACAAATACTATAAGATTGTGTAGTGCAAAATAAGCCTATGTGGGTTTTACGTCATTGTAATCTCCCTGACTATAAGTTTAGTATCAATTTCTCCATAGCTCGCGTGATCGGTCAGCCCAGGGGATGCACGTTGTACAGTGGAGGGTGCGGCATTCCCACGGTTACCCTGTCTGTAGATATGCGGGTGTCGCGATTTCCCTCCACCCCGCCAGATGACGCCGGAAGTGATCATCCTCAATCCGGACCCGGAAACAAGTGCTTACTCACCAGGTGAGCGGTGAACTACCGATGATGACAATGGCAGTGGCAGTAAGCACGCTATTGGGGTGCGCCACAGCTGATCATCAGAAGATTAATGATGTTGGGTATGATTAGTTTGGAGTTTATTTAATTATTAATGGTTTTAGAGTAGCAGAGTGTTGTAAATGAGTTAAGTGTACGGTGGTCTACTTTCCCTAGGGATACTCGTATACAGTAAACTGGATGGACGCTCTCGATATGCAATAATACCACCGCCGAAGCAAACCTGCAGACTAAGCGAATTTTCATTTACCTGGCTGGATTCCTACTACTGTAAAATATTTCATGAAAATTATCAGATTTATTTACTAATTCAATAACATTAATTTTAATGAATACCAAGGTTTGCTGCTACAGGGGAAGTATTGAGGTGTGTTTTTTTATTGAAATGGTGATAGCTTAGTATGGAGTAAACAAAATTGCCAAATAAAATATATCCATAAACATGCAAACTACAACAGTTTATTTATTCTCCTTTAGAAAAAACATGGACATTTTAAATTTAAAGTTTTTTTAATTACCTCCGTAACCGTTAGGATTGTATTCCGCTTCAATATACAAAATTATTTCTTTTTTTAAGCTATACAAAATGGTCTGGAAAGAAATAGTAAAAGTGTTTTTTGAGTAAAAAATGGGAAAACCCAATTTTTACCCCATAAACACCTGTTCCCATAGTCCGATCATGCTGGTTCTTGAACTCGTTCGAATAAATGTAAGTTGGTTTACGCGATCATTTTTGCTTGAGATCTCGTGCTAACGGACACACACGCACATATATACTGTATATATTTATATATGAATTTGAATGGATGGTGTTTTGGTCTCTAAGGACCTCAAAATGAAAAATGATATCGGTCCCGGGTCTAGGTCTTACCATGAGACCTACGATAATAGCTTATTCCCTATATGGGAAATTCGCTAAAACTCAAAGAGAAACATAAATTAAATTGAGACTCATTTAGTGCTGTCACATTTAGGACAGCACTGGTAAAAGCTAAAACCACCACATTATACGTTCGTACTCAATGACCATGAACAAGTTAGGTTAAAAAATGTTCTTTGTAAGCAGTCAATTATTTTTACTATTCATCGAGCAGATTATCTCCGAAAATCTGTTCCCAGAAGCAGACCTAATGAGCCCATGACTTTACCCACCCTTGTACCTGAGCTACCATTCACTCTGATCTGAAGCTCTTCGCCAGATCGAGTCAGACATGCGAGAACAAAAAGATCTTTTGTGTTTTCCTGGAGTGGTCGAGGGTTGGAGTTTTGAAACATTGTAAAACCGTCCCAACCTAGGTCTAGATCCAGGAGATACCAGTGCTACTGTGGTAGGAACATCCCTGCGTGATATGAGTAATT